GATGTTGATGTCTTCATGATCTAGTCGATTAGCAGGAGAAAGAGAAAAGGTGAGAGTACGCAACCTTGCCTGACACCGGTCTTTACTTCGAACGACTTTGTCAACTGTCCTCCATGTACGATTTTGCAGTTTAATCCATCATAGGAATTCCGTATGATAATGACTATCTTCTGAGGCACGCCGTAGTGTCGAAGAAGCTTCCATAGGGTTGTTCTGTCCACGCTATCAAATGCTTTTTCGTAGTTGATCAATTTGATATAGAGTGATGAATTCCATTCAATTGATTGTTCCACAATGATCCGCAGAGTTGCGAATTGGTTTGCACATGATCTATTTTTACGGAATCCTGCCTGTTGGTCTCGAAGTTGGGTGTCTACGGAGTCCTTCATCCTGTTCAACAATACCCTGTTGAAGACTTTTCCTGGTATTGAGAGAATAGTAATGCCCCTTTAGATCGCCTTTCTTTGGTATTTTGACTAGAAGTCCTTCTTTCCAGTCTTTTGGTACCTGTTCCTCATCCCAGATCTTTCTGAAGAGAGTTTGGAGTATCCTTGCAGTTGCCGCTACGTCTGCTTTCAGTGCCTCTGCTGGAATGCTGTCTAGTCCTGCTGCTTTGCCACACTTGATTTGTCTGATAGCCATGCTTATCTCTTCAAATGTTGGTGGGCCAGCATCGATTAAGAGGTCCGTGAGTGCTGCTTCGATGTTGGGTGGGTTCAGTGGGGCTGGTCGATTCAAGAGTTCTTTGAAGTGTTCTACCCACCTGTTTCGTTGTTCTTCAATGTTGGTGATTACCTTGCCTTCCTTGTTTTTCACTGGTCGTTATGGTTTACGGTGATTTCCAGAGAGTTTCTTTGTTGTGTCATACAGTTGTCTCATGTTTCCTTCTCTGGCAGCCTTCTCCGCCGTCATTGCTAAATCTTCCACATATTTACGTTTGTCAGTTCTGGTGCTCCTCTTCACCTGCTTGTTTACTTCTGTGTATTCAGCCTGTGCCTTGGCTTTTTCTGCTCTTGTTCGGCTGGTATTGATTGCTATCTTCTTGTCCTTGTGGTTTTGTGTATGCGTTTATGTGGGAATATAGTCCCGCCTATGACCAGTTTATTGAAGGCACATAGATTTGCAAACCTCTCACCATTTTCGTTCCTTTCTCCCAGTCCGTGTCGTCCCATGATCTCTTCATATCCGGTGTTGTCAATTCCAACCTTGGCATTTAGGTCTCCCATCAGAATGGTCAGGTCGTTTGTTGGGCACTTCTCGACGATTGACTGAAGCCTATCGTAGAATTGATCTTTAGCATCTTCATTGTAGTCGTTGGTAGGCGCGTAGCATTGGATGACGTTCATTGTGATGCCCTTTTTCTTTGTTTTGAAGGAGGCTTTGATGATCTTTGGTCCATGAGATTCCCATCCTATAAGTGCATTTTGTGCTTGTTTGGACAGTATCAATGCAACTCCTTGTGTATGTGGGGCATTTTCTTGTTCATGTCCGGAGTATAACAGCAGCTCCCCTGAAGCTAGTCGTTGTTGTCCAACTTGCGTCCAATGTGTTTCACTGATCCCAAGCACCTCTAAATTGTATCTCCTCATTTCTGCAGCAATTTGGAAAACTCTCCCAGTCTCCCACATTGTGCGAGCATTCCATGTACCTAAATAAATGGTTGCTCTGGTTGTCAGAAGGGGCATCGGCCTTGTGACTTCCGAAGAAACTCGTCTTTCATCATGAGGCGTCATAATTCTTCTAAACGAAGACCTCTTGACTCCCAGGGCAGAGTTTAAATGGTTTGAATAATTTTTTCTGATTAGCGTTTTTTTAGCGAGTTAGTTTTCTACGGGATGATGTCGCTAACCCCATGCCCGACCCTCCTCTTTTATCCGAGCTTGGGATCGGCAGTAGCCCCCCGAAAGGGACCCCAGGCGTAGTTGTATTTTTGTATAGTGATTAAAAACCATATATTGGTTTAAGTCAATTACAACAATATAGAAGCTATCTGGCAATAACTAGATTCTAGTTATCGGCAAATCAGAGAAAAATGACATAATTTTTTACAATCGATTTTGCTTTACGATAAACTCAAGAAGAAATCTTAAGGATGAACCTCTAAAGACGAAAGCTTAGCGAAGGTGGAACTACTTTACATCATCTCGTTTTTAAATCTTTGAATACGAAATCAAGGTGATTCAACTCTTGATAAAAGAGTAATTTTTGAAAAATAGTAATAATTCCTAGTAGTCACACTGTATGTTATTAGGTTTTCTTCTGTAACTAAATATCATGCTGACTTCAATTAGAGAAAGCATACGTCTTTACTATTCTTTTACAGTATGATTAAACACCAAGTACAATACATATTTTGTAATTATGGCTATGAAGTCACTTATTAGTAATTATTATTGCGTAAAACATATAAATTTTGCAAGGGAAATACATACTCATATTATCATATGTATACGACAGAATATTAAAAAAACTGATAATAAAAGTATTCTATATGTACAAAAAAACACATCTCGAGAGAGAATGCATTAGAAAACAGGCTAGTGTTTATAAATGTTTTGTTCGATTCGATAATGCATTGAGGTTGACATTCAATTATTGAAAACAATCATTTGGAAGCCATGAATTTAGTCGGTCTGAGATAAAGGAAAGCTTTTGCTGATTATAGCTGACCACTCAACAAGAATTGATTTAATAAGTCAAAAATATGATTTAAGTAGTGTAAAACAGTTTAAAGAGAAAGTTGTTAATAAATGAAATGATTATATATATTCGGTCTGCATGTGTTCATACTTCTATACTTAGTAAGTGAATTTAACCTGTTACAATAAAATGATTTGACAATGTGGGCAAATCGTTTATTTACGTAATCGTGTGAGAAGATTCGTTCTACTACTACTAATCATGCAAAGCACTAACTATCAACATAGTTCAAAATTAATTCGAGTTTATAGTGTGATTTTTTTACAACTAGGTAAATTAAGATCTTATAAAAATGGGTAATGCAGTAATAAAATTAAGATGAGTCAAATTTCAGAATTTTAGTGAAGTAGATGTTTGGACGTAATGAAATAAAAATGATAACTTTACATGTAACCTAAACAAAGAGAGATAGAACGGTAAAATGGTGTGAAAAAAATATAAAGGTGGGATCATGATAAGAATATGAATTGTACAATTTGTTTCTGCATATATAAATTTGTCCCTATGCTATATTGCTGTTTCAGCGTTGCTTTAGAGATGTGTGTGTTCAATTTACTGTAAATGAGAAATGATCTTTTAAATAATTTCGAGTGATGAATTAGATGCTACATACATACAGAATAGATTTTTTGATTTTTACTTTTCTAGGTCATGCAGAGAAGCCATGTTTCTGATAATTTTTTACAAATAAAGATATTTTATGAATAAATGATAGTTTTAATAGTGAGAATATTTAATGGATAACAATATTCAGTAGGTAACCTCTTTCTGGAAATTGATAGTTAGAACTTATCAATGACATGAATCTGCCTCACAAAACTTATAACTTGATTAAACAACGTCCGACCACTAAAAATAATAGATCTTAATGAGAAATTAATCAGAAAACTGGATAGCAATTAAAATTACGTAATAAGAATATTTGCGCTAAGTTTTATTACTTTTGGTTCTTATGAAAACTTCAGAAAATTCCGTTAATTAATTCTGTTTACATTAATTTTACCTGTTCAGCTTAAAATACATCTATTTGTACTACATAAAACACTTTAGAAGGGTTGTAATTCAAATACAGATTATAGGTACAAAGCATTTCTAGGATTTAGTATAGAACCAATATATAAAGGTGTTGAATTTCTTGTAAACTAACAAAAGTTCTTTAAATGAACTTTTGTCGAGATTTAGGAGAATGGCTCCAGGAAAATCGGTATATGGGTCAGAAGACATTCTATAGCTATTGTTAAGATTTTCACGACTGAAGGTTAATAGTTATATTTGTCCCGACAGTCTGTTCCGACAAACCAAGATAATTTCAGTTATTTAAATTTATATATTTGTTATAAATTTTCTCATGGAATTAAAGTGTAATAATTTTATATTAATACGGATTATAGTCCAAAGTGAATTAAATACCGAAACAATGCTTGATCATTTTGTCGGCATTTGACATACACTTTAATGATTATTATGATAAAAAATCTATTAATTCATTAATTAATAAAGTAGGTAAAAGTAATAAAACGCATACATACTAATCCTATTTCAATATTTCATATTCTGTTCACTCGTACTTTCCGCAAGATGACTCCGTCTAATGCATGAACCTAAACTCACATGCTGTGCGTTAAGTTAGTTTAACATGAATCAATAACCGGAAAAGTGTTTATCTGCTCGACTAATAGCTGCACATCTTAGATATGTGTGAGAGAGGGGGAGCTGGTAAAACGACCAGATTTCTCTGAATTTCTGTCTATTTTTTGAGATAAAAGTCCAGTCCACAAGGATAGGTGTAAAAGCTGAATAGCTTATTGTAGTATATCCATCGCAGTAAAATGCTTTACATTTGAATTCGTTACAAATTTACAAGTTTCATAAAGGTTGTAATGATTGGTGAGTAACATTAATCAGGAAGTTTCAATGAATAAATCTGAGACAGTTACTTTTAAACATGAGATCAAATGTTTGACGATATCGTAACTTACTACTAAGATTTTTGGACAAACTACATTCCTCGAATAGTTTGACTGTTAATCAGAAGCCAGTTATCAAATTTTCGCGGGAAAATATGACATTGTGACGATTAAAGAACTTGACTTCTAAATACTCAGAATTACTTCTTGAGTTTCGACAGCCCTACCAACTCTTGATAAGATATATGTTGCAGAGTCAATTACGCATGAATTCGTATTAGTCTAATGGTTTACATCAAAAATACGTGGTACAGATATGTATCCGTTACGTTTTTCTAAAAGGATAACCAAGGTTATATCGACAATTAGTCATATCTATCGAAAGATTGCAGCTATATCAACAAAATTATATTATTTCATTAAAAAAATATTGTAATAATATTAAGTAAACGTAAATTTACCTTACTTCGAACAATGAATACTATGTAAACAAATCGAAATCCATTGTGTGGAATTTGTTGTGTTGTGCAGTATTAATAATAATGATCATTATTGAATAATCATTTGTATTTTTAAACAAGAAGATATACATAAATATATCAGTCAATAAAGAAATAGCTCAAAATTAATTCAATAATTCCGCAATAAAAAAAGATAGAAAAATAATAGAGAATAAATATTATACCTATTATGCAAACAAATAAATAGACGTAATTTCAACTTTTCAGCATACAAAAATCATAATTATAAATAAAATAAATAATTACAATAAATGGACTGTGTTACACTATTTATCTTTTTTCCTATTAGAAATCCTCTTGAATTTCATCATTTGCCTCATTGATATAATTGTTAGATCCGACACAGATTACAACAGAATTTAAACATTCTCGTCGTTTATATGGTAACTTTAAGGTGAAAAGTTGAACAATTGATAATAAAACCATGAAAGCACATAAACCCATATGTGGTGCACTGAAATCCTAAAGAAATCAAAAATGAAGTGAAAGATCAATGGTAATCTTTCGTATACAATAATAACCATACATTTTTCATAGAAATGTACAATTAGATAAGTATCGCTTTCAAACATCACCTATCTCAAATGAAGTCTACTACAAACAATACAGATACGTATCGACTATATCGTTAATATGAAAACATTCATTATTCGGACATCAAATTTACAAAATAAAAGGGCGAAAATTTACTTTAATGACTGTAACAAGCAAATAAAAAAGTTTGAATAATCTAACCAGATTTACTAATGAAAAATAAGCTTACTATGATAAATGTGATAATCAGTGTTAGTAATTTTTGGTTAATAGTGAAGGAAAATAGGACAAAAATTGTTTGTTATCTTACACTAAATAGGTGAATAAGTAATAACACCTGCCTTGTTGAATTTCTAATCATTATGTTTTCTTAATCTGTACTAGATACCGGGATGATGCAAGATACTGCTTAAATAAACAGTAATTCATGGGGCCGACCGGAGTAATGTAAGGGATTCTTAAGTGGGTAAATGCTCACTGGCTTTTAGTAATTGCTTAATAATATGACGCTAAAAATAGAATGATTTATCACAAGGCATTACTATGGCGTATTAAAAAACTTAAAACTAATCCCTTACTGTGACAATGAGACTCCTAATCATATCCAGTTATTCTCTATCAGAGTATAGTGTATTATATTGTTGTTGGAACTTAGTGTTGCGTTAATTTGGTGAGATATGCATTTGCTTCTTTGAAATGAGTGCAACATAACATGCATGAATGACGATAAACCTTGCTTATAAGAAAGTTTTTGAAACGGGTTGATCTGAGAAATAAGTTTTAAAAAATGTTAAATATAGTTCTTAAGAACTAATAAATTTATTATAAAACAACCAGTTTCATTACAAATTGTTTACCCGGATATCTTCGTTAGGACCACAAGTGCTGATAATTTTAGTTGAATTGTTAGCTAAAGGTGCAGTAAACTGTAAAATAGGCAACATTGCGAGGGAAATTATTTGGTTGGAGATTATAAGAAAGCTGGTTGTAATTGCTTCAGAAACTGGATAAGTCGCCTCTGCAGCTAGTTCTAAACACAGGGAAAACTGAGAGAAACCAAATGCTCCAAGCCAAATTAAACAAATAGTGATTAGTATTTGCTGATTAGGGAACCACAATACAATACTTAAGCAGACAGAGCCCAAAACACTTAATGAAAATGTGATCTAATAATAAAAGCAAATATAAACGAGCACAATGTGATATAGAGATACTCAATTAAAAACGTACATCACTGTTACAATATTCTTCAATTTCGGAAGCATACATCTGAAGATAGTAAAGATCATGAATAACCCTGTGGTAATTTCTTACTGATTTTTAATAAACAGGTGAGTGTGTCATTAGAGTAGACGAAACACATAATGATTGTGTTCTTACTTGAAGTGCATTCCTTGAAAATTGATTGTTTCTCGTTGAACAGTTCTCATACATATATATTTACGAAACCGTTATTTTATTTCATATGCCATATTGCCTGACGCGCTAATATTTTCATGTTGTGTCAAATGACAAACAAATAACGTTCTAAACAACACTGGATAACATATGAATAGATTGAAAAAAACCCAGAGCAGTTTGGAAAAAAGAAAAATTATTTTAAGTCACTGCTCATTCATTGGTGAGGCTTGTTTTTATTATTATTATTTATTATTTTAACACATAAATATCGGTACAAGAAGGCACCAAATACATATGCGCCACACAGATCTCATTTGATATGTGTGAGGGCTGTGATACTGCCCGGGTGCCCAAACCGAAGCAGGAGGCTTGTTTAGCTGGAATCAGGACGATAATCTCAGTCAATAGTTGGACATCTCAGGTGACATAATTCAATATCGATCCCTGTGACTCAGAATGATTCACTCTTTATTTTCAATTAAATCTTGAGTTCTCACATTATTCTACACTTTTTATTCTTAAAATTAGTTCCTTCACAAGCCACACTTATGTTTGATCTCTCTTAGTATCAATGTTATTTTAAATCTCTTGTCATTCATCTTATAATCTTTATTGAGCTATAGTGATAGGATGTGAGGACTTGGGTCGATACACATTGTGCCAGGTCCTATTCTCATTATGGCTATCAGGATGACTATAAATATTGTTGAGCATTATAAAGTTACTGTACATAACGTCATGTGACTTGATGTTTAACCGATTAGTAACAGGAAAATTAGGACCTAACACAAATATACATCACTTCAGTTCTGCATAATTTGCATCAGTAAAGTACGAAAAAAGCCAAACGAGGTGAAATAATAATGGCAACTGTATTGGAAAGATTAACATGTGAAATATAGTGGAAAATTAACAAATAAGATCAAAGGATAAGAAGTACGGAACGATATTAAGTTCATGAATTTAAGAAAGACATAAATTAATCCAACTGGGTCAATGATAACAAATTTTAAGTTATAGCACCTAAATTCTACAACTTTTGATTAAGGTTAGTGTTGGCAGCAACTAGAATGTCAACATCTATCCACGCTGTTAAATAAGGTCGTATAGATCATCCGGATAAATGCTGACTAAATATGTCTGACAGATATTCTAACTACCACTGACATGAGGCACATTCAGTAGCCGTAAACCAACAAGGAACGAATTGTTGTATAGTATTCTCACCCCTTGATATATAGATGAACATGCTCTGAACTCCAATTGTTGCACAGCTAATTAGTGATCAATTAATTTGAATCATGTTTGTATCGACATATCAGGGGCAAAACTATCCGGGTTGAGAATTCCAGTAAAAGTGTGGTATCAAACAAACTTAAGTTATCCATTAAGTATTAACATAAACCAATGCTGAAGCAATATATTTCAATGTACAGTGACAGACATTTTATCTTTTTATGCCGTTGTTAAGTACTTTTCGTTTGGAAAAACTCAGCACAAAAGTCGCAAACTTTAATTGTGTTCTTTATTTTCAATAGTAATGTAAGTACACTTATTTATATTAGGAAATTTTGTATGTACTTAGAGCTATACAAATTGATACAAAAATCGTAGGGTACATTAAAAACGAGCAAGATCAATGTATTTCATAATCATTATAACTTCTGACCTTTAGAACATAATTTACTATAAATGGTTTCGTGATTTGATAAAGTAATTAACACTAATTTGATAATTTCTATCATTTATTAAAATTAAATCCAAAAATTTGATCTATTTAGTCCTATCCTTTAGTTCATTAAACAATTTAAACTAAATCAATTTGTCCTTTGAAGTTGCGGTTCTACTATCTACACAGATTTGTACAAAACACATAATTATTGAATCACAAATTAATGAATTTCTAAAAGAAACACAGACCTTTAATGTTTCAATAAGAAATCCCGTTCTATCCACAAACAATGCAACAGGACCAGCTGCTACTAAGCCTGCAACTATTGTGATTGATCCACAAAATCCAGCAAACTGGTTGGAGTAACCTTTTGTACACAGAATTTGCTGTAGGAGAGCCGATAAGACAGTAAAATATCCGATACAGCTACTGAATGTAATTGTAACAATCCAAAATCCATAGAGCTTAAGAGGTGGACCAAACGCTTTCAAAAAGTCGCATAAAGAATGAAGTGAAATAAAATGTCTGTTTGAGTTGACTTGACGTTTAGCTATAGCCAACGTCGCCACATATGAAGGGGGTGTGATTGGTTTACCTCTGCGGACTAACAATATTGACAAGAAGAACTGAACAGCAACCAATCCCAAGGATATGTAATTGAAACCAACAATATTGGAAGAACTCTTGACGTAATTAGGGGCAAACGCACTGCCCAGCAATATGCCTACTGAATTTCCAAGCGATGCAATAGTGTTTGCGGTAGTACGCTGATTGTCGGGGAACCAATCGCATGCAAGACTGGTTGTGCAGAACAAACAGAATGGTTGGGCAAAAGAAGCAATTACTTGTCCAAATACTATCAAAATGAGACGTCCAGAGGATGAAATATTTATATATGGTGCGCTACTCAAAACGCGCATGCACCCACACAATAAGTTACAAATGGCCGTACATAAAACAATGAAACGAACCCCAAGACGATCTATGACATAAGCTATTGGGAGACCAAATACTATCGTAGTCAAAGGGTAAATTAAGGAAATGAGATTGAGAACCGTGTTACTTGTTGAGTAAAACTCAACAAAGTAGTTAGCAATAGGGGAATACGATATCCACAAATAAGCGTTTGTACAACTCAATGACGCGAATGTGAAGACAATTATCCATCTTGTTCGGTACACGCGATAATCAGTCTCTCTTAAATTATTAAGGATGTCTTCTTTAAAATCCTCTTGATCATGACTCAAGACGCGCCGCCTAAACGTCATTATAAATGGTTGATATTTTTAGATTGTGGATGAGTCACTAATGTTCACTGGTCATAAGTGGGAATCATATTCCACCAAAAAAGCGAAACATTTTCTGGAAAACAGAAAAAAATGATACTTGGAATATTTATTAATAAATCAAGCCGTTCGTCAGATTATTGATCATTATTATTTTATTTTATTTTATTTTAACACATAAGTATAGGTACAGGGAGGCACCAAATACATATGCGCCACACAAATCTCAATTGATTTGTGTGAGGGCTGTGATACTGCCCGCGTGCCCAGACCGAAGCAGGTGGTTTTCTTAGGGGGCCACACCCCGAGCCTTTGACCTGAACGTCTGACCCACAAGGCAGTGGAGCATCGTAAGGAGATGCAGTCCCATGGTAGCCGGTGACCAACGATTGGTTCATACGCCATTTGTTCCTTCAGGATACTGGAGCCCATGTGCACCATTGGTTTGGGGTCCGGTTAAAGCACCAGACATTCGCTTTTCGTCCTCTCATTTTTGTAAACAACACCCCCGCCACGAGAAGGCAGTGAGTGATCATCGGGATAACTGATTCAATGATGAACAATATAGGCCATATGAATGCTAAGTGGAATCAATAAAATTAATCTCAGGATAGGTTCTAAGTGGTCTAGGGGTTGGTAGTACGGGGTTATCTTTCGACTCCAAAATAAACTTATAAGGCTGGGCAATACAAAATGTCAACGTTAGGACAGAGCGAACCTGAGTGAAAAACGGCACCAACCCCTGATCTACCTACCGATTTTTATTATGTAGGTCATACCTCCACACATAACCTCTCGAGAATGCTGATCAGAAAACGCAATTATAAACAGCGAAATCGGAAGATTAAGTCTTGAATCCTAGACAATTTGTACGCAAAAATAAGAAAACAAGATGTGTGATAACACATCTTGAACCTATAAGTTCAAATGAGGTGCAGATTTGAAAGAAAAGAACTCAAGAAGTACATGAAACTTGAGTCCATTCCAACGAGTTGGTGTTGTTTTAATAGTCTGAAAAAAATCTAAGCACAAGAACTGAGGAGAAAAAAAACAGAAAACACACACATTTACAAAGGAAACGAATTGTCAACGGTAACGATGACAAAAAGCTGGCAAAACGCGAACTGAAAGTAAGTCCAAAAGTTAGGTAGTCTAACTCGGTCGGACCTCTAACATAGGCCTACAAGTAGACCACCAGTTATGAAAATTTATTCGCTTCTAAAATGAGGGTATGTTTTATGCTTGTAAAACACACGAGGAGAGATGAAAAACGAGGTAAGTATAACAAACCTAACTTCATGATGCAATATACACATCGTATGAACCTACACTTAGTATGTATTGTGAGGACGGCAATCGACCATATTGAATTTGCTTTATTAATTAACCTTGAGAAGCAATCCATAATGAAGTAGTAAAACACTATCAAGGTTTGTGACAAAGATAATTCTTTTAAATGAAACAGAGTCAAGACTGTCTTTATAATTATTCGCTTTTCATATCGAAGTCGTAAATTTTGTTTAGTATGTTGAAACTTAAGATTTCAATTCACAAGTTAACAAAAAATTAATCTCATGGTTCATGTTATTATAAAGGCAATTTAAAGTTTTTGGGTTCCTAGATGTCTTATAAAAAAGAAATGACCAGGTATAAGAGTTTAGTATCTGATGTTTACAGTAATTAAAGTTTTTTAACGATTTTTTAACGCCACGTAGAACCTAATGGTGACCACTTTAAGTACCACGTGAACTGTGAGAGTTAGGAAAGTAACGATTGTCACATAATCATCAAACTCATAGTACGTTTGATTCCTATTTTAGTGTGGTGAAATAAACCATGTTCGAGGTCGAACAGGGACCATCAAACAGTATGTATTGCCTAACTCTTTAGTCACGTGGTAGTTTGGTTCTGTCATTTTGACGAATTGATTTGGTATTCTGTTGAACCTACTAATCGTTCGGCTTGATACTTTCCCACCAAAATTCTATTCGTGTGTATAGACATGTGTTCTGTTCTTTATTTTTGACTTATAGTCAGTTATTATTTAAAGACTTATTATTTGTTACGTCACCGCGCATATTTTAGCGCACAAGAACACCAGTGGGGACAATCGAATGTATTTGACAACAAATAGCAGTACTTGTTAATAAAATCTAACAACCATACATTAAATGCTCAATTTGAAAAATGTCCATCAATTGTCTCAAATTGACTTAGACTTCACTGTTCTTGCATTTTTATACAAATTGCAGTCTGATTTCATTCTTCACTGTTCGATCTTATCTCTCCGCTGCCAGACATTCTGTTCACGAATAACATCATATACTACTTATGTCTACGTAATCAGCACACACCACATTATTAGGCGATTCAAATGCCTATTTGTGTCTGCTACAGTCCAATATACATTGTCAGGTACTTTGCTCATACGGTGTGAACCCTAGGTTCTCTCGTGACCGTTAGTGCGATTTTTGCGGCATTTATGCGGTACTGTTATAGATACGATACGAGGAATTGGGTACACAAAACTGGTCCCCAACAATATGACCAGTAACATCTGTAGCTATCAATCTGTAATACATAACTACATTTTTTGTTGCCTGTTGTTCTGCGCATAACATGCTTAAATTAGTTATTCTGACTTGTGGGTAAATCATTTTGTTTATTCTTTTGAAGAAGTTACTCACACATAATAGCCTCGTCACCCATTTGCCCATGACGTTGACTGTTCTTATACGAAAGTTTAGTATCTTAATACACTATTCGTCACATGTCTTCAACCCATTTTTCTGTTCCATCATCAGGGTTGAGTCGCAGTTAATGAAATAGAATCTGCTGTTTCTACCACTCCAGTCCGCAAGTGTTTGTTTTGTCTGTCATTATTCATCGAAATTAACGGCTAACTGAAATCCATATTCGGCGAGATTATAATTTATGAATGAACCATTCGGATGTATGATAGCATCTCGTCCATTCGGATAAAGTTTTGGCATTAAAGCTAATGTTAGTTCGTGATGTACACCCTAAGTTCAATTCGAAACCTTAACTTTCAGCTATAAATCATACTTCTAATCCCTCATACTGTTTTTATAACTCTTATTTGGTCGTAGTTATTAGGCGGACACTCTCAAGATCAGTCTAGAGTCGCTAAAAGGTTGCACATAACTAATAGTTTCACCACATATTCCATACATAATTTCTTATTAGATTTCCGATTCCTTCAATTACATTAACGGGATATGTCGACAGAATAAGCAATATATATATTTCATTTGCAAAGTCAGATCTCGAGCCGTCAAATTTGAATGTTTATGAATTAATATGAAGATTTGATGGAATCACCACAATCTCTGACTGGAATCATATCACACCCACGGAGCATGTGTTCACTTAAACATATAGACAGGTTTCTCGTTGTTTACTTATTTACGCAGGCGCTGATGAACGTGTCAAATTATGGCCTATTTCGGTAGTAGTACTACCAGCACAATCCACGCTGACTCATCCTATCATGATCATCAGCAAAATGATAGTCAGCAAAATAAAGTCTTCTGTCTACTACTTCTCCAATTCAGACCACAATGTTTTCTCTGCAGATGCCTTGATGAATAACAATTTTTGACGTTGGTGTAAACTTCATAGGGAAGCTAACAATCAGGATATTAAGCTGACACTTCAGGAACTTCTCGTGCTTTAACATGTTTGAACCCACGGCAACATACTGGCTTTCGACTACGTAAAACTTAAAGTAGTCTCTGTGTCATACGATACGAACTATTCATAAGACCCACATAATTCTTCACCTGATATGTACTTGATGGCAAAAGACTTATGTGTCTTCATTCTAGATGACCTGAAACAAAATTTTAAGAGTCAACCTTGAACTATAAGCCGATTTGTACGGTGAAAGTTTTCGCCTTGATAGTTTTATCATGAGTACTCGAAATTCGATCATAATTGTGTCCCCACCTTTCTGAAAGAGCTAAAACACTTTTGAACGTATTCATAAATAATTCGTCAACTTATTCCTTAAACCTAGGTCAAAATCGTACAAGCAACACTTCAAAGTACAGGATATAAAACCGTAGAGTATAAGTGACTTGAAAGCGACCCCACAATGACCTTTAACATTCTGTAATGCTTGAGCATATTTGAAACACTAATTTAAGTAACATTTTGACACATGCATACTAGAGAGTTTACATAGAAGCTAAAAGTAATAGAAATAGAATTGTCGGCAGATTTTCTACTTTTTCAAAGTGATTGCGCACCAGAACTTTATTTAGTGACACAAATTACCTTTACGAAATCCTCAAAAAGGAGACTCAACTTTGAAAACGCAGAATATCATGTCACCCTGACTTACAGATGCATTTTTTTGTTTCTCCACGTTTCAACTATCTCTGTCTCCACTGGAACAAATTTTTGGTGCATTTAAAAGGTTTTTATGTGAAGGTCCTTTCAATTCAGCTCACAGTTCACCCGATCGTTTGAACACTCTGACTTCTTCTAAAACTTCGTAAAATGAGAAGCAAAACAACAAATAAACGAAATTATTTATCTAAAGCATCATGAATGAAGAATAGCGATCACCTTTTTTTTATTTATGGAACATGAAGTATTGTGTCTCCAGAACTTTGTTTATATCTACTGTCACAGTCCGTTTTGACAATAGTGGCAATCTAAATGTGCAATGCGCCTTCCGTTATTTATCTCAGTAATAATTGATGTAGTAGTTTCATCTGCACTTAATATAAAAGAAGTTGATGTTAATGGAAATTATTATGTGCAATGGGGAGATAACTTAGCCCTTACCTGTGTCCAGGATACTCCGACATTCGGAAAACTTAGTATTGATTGGTTTCTCCCTTCACAACCAAACAGACCTGTTGAATATGGAAATAAAGCTCATGTTTACCGACAAGATCAGTTAGATTCCATGATATTGGTTTTGGTCGTCCGATATGTGAACACAGATGATTCCGGAACGTAAGTTTATTTCGCGCATATTTTTTTCTTACACTTCGCTAAGTCAACAGTAGTTTGAAAACTAAACTCAAACCTTACTTTTTGTAAATAATAAAACGTTAATATTTACTCTGAATACAATAGGAATTGTTGGCAAGGTAGTATTAACTAAAGAATACGCATATTCGTATATAGGAGTTTGAATGTACATTTTCTCACTGCATACATTGAGAAAGAACTCGCTCCTCATTATCAGTTTAGGTGTGCTATAATAATTATTGAAACGTATATCGGTGTAAAGACCTGACTTTTATATGGAAATTTTAACGGACGATATTCGCTTAGTGTGCTATAATAGAGATTTGTATTTGGTAATTTGTTTCCGAACTTGTTCCAGGATTTTGAAATTTGTAAGTATATCCATCTCAATTATCAGTTATTAATATGAAGGGAAACACGTAGGTCGTTTATGGGTAATGCACCGTTTACTTGAAATCCAAGTTGCAAACGAGATATGATTTGCCTACCTTATTTATATCAAAATCGTAAAAGCAATGAGAAATAACCACTAGACACATAAAACTTTGGGAGCTTTTTATCTATATTCTACTGTTGGTTTAATGTCAGCGTTGGCATCGACCAGCGCACTATCCGTTAAAACAAGGGGTATGAGCACATTGTTATTAATGTTGATTTAAAACAAGATTGTAGATCACTCACGTAGATGATCTATGTCGAATGATTGGGGTCGTACTCGAGTTAGACAGGAATGGTGTGACCATCAGCTAACTTCAAAGTTACACCTCGTAGTCGGCACCTAACGTGGTTTACCCGTTCGTCGTATTAAGGTACTATTGCTGCCTTGAAGACCGTATAACACAAAGGATGTTATTACAAAGTATATTAGTTAGGGTAGATACAGTGAAACTTCATCGACCCTATAAGATGTCTTAATCAGTGTTTATTTTCAGTCTTTTTCTATGGGATTATTTATTCATTACTCATAAAGTTTTTAAAGCTTTTTTGGATACATATCCGTATGTAAATTAACCGAGTTAAACATATTTTTGTAAATACAAAGTTTTTATGTGACCTTATTGAGTAATTCCTCGAAACAGTGCAGAAAGTAATGGTAAAATATGGTTACTAAGTATGCTACAGTCTACTAGTTTCCACAAATACGATGACATGATTTTTTTGTAAAGCAATTCGCAGTCTGTTTTGCTTTCAATCTCAACAGTTTCTGTCTTAAACATGAACAACATATCAAAAAACTTATTGAGAGATTTTAAACACTACTTTCGCAGCGTTTGATTTTATCTGCTAAGCAACCATATTTTAATCAACGGTCTAGATCGATTGGGGTTTAAACTATGTTGAATTGTTTTTAAAGTTTTTACAGAAGTAA